ACACTTTATTACCAATCTATTTTCTCTGTGTCTACAAGTGTGTAGCAATATAGCAGATAAATTTGAAATAATAGGAATAACAAAAGTAGTATTATGCACAATTATAGCTGGCAGCACCCAAAATCAGACACCCTTAATAACAAATGACAATATTATATAAAAGAAATACCATCTGAAAACCGATTTTGCACGGTGTATTAAAGACTTGATGGCTCAGAAGATGGGTAATAGAATAAAAAGCCTTTTATCTCAAGGTCATCAATTCAAATACAAGTCAGACTGATAGCAACTGAAAGCCATTTGATGGCAGTGCTAATGAACCCAGTCTTGTTACTGGAAATTTAAGAACCAGCTTAACATTTAGGCCTTTCTCCTGGCCCAGAAGTCCCAGAGGGTGTGAGGAGCAGATCCAGCTCAGCAGGTAGAGCTTTATTTCCCTCGTTATCCACTGCCAGCCCCAGGCTGTGTCCCTGTTTTAGCACCTTCCTACCAGGTACCTGCTCTGTTCCAAAATCCAACAGCACTGCTGTCCCTTTTATTGCTTGGAAAGTTAAAAAACCAGGGCTGGGCTTTCAGCAAAGTGACCACTTCAGGTGATGCAAAGGCAACACCCTGAGCTGTAACAATTCCATGCATTCATGCATCACTTTTTTTTTTTGATATCTTACTATTTTTCTGGCACGTCTCAGATAATGTGCCAAAGTAAACCAGTGAAGTGGGAAAGAAAAGAATCCCTGTGCAAACTCCAGAGACTGCTCAGCTGCTCTCACATCAGCCAGCAAAGAAAGCAAAGCTCATATTGCATGACTTGACAAGCAAACTCCAGGTCTTCTCAAATAAAATCCCTGTCTAATTTCCTTTGTTCTGTTATAATGCCCACACAATTTACTGTTGGCTCTGGTATTAACATGATGCAAAGCACTGATAAGAAACCCATTGATGTTGTCCTTTTTATGCTGAATGAGATTTTTATTAAAGAAAAACCAATAAGAACAACCAATCGCTAGACATGAATTTTCAATCGTTCTCCAAAAAAAAAAAAAAAAAAAAAGGCATCCCAGAAGGAATTTGTTTTCACATCTTACACAAGCAAAGCTCAGGGTTTCCACATGAAAATCAACACACAGTGTTTGGGGGACACACAGTACCATCAGAGGGATAAATATTCATATATTGAGCAACCTGGTCTAGTGGAAGGTGTCCCTGCCCATGACAGGGGGTGGGAATGAGAGACAGTCTGGGAGGTCCCTTCCAAACCAAACCACTCTAAGATTCTACAGTAGCAGGGCAAATGTTTTTACAACCTCTAATTAAAACACACAGATTCACTTTTGAATCGAGGCACCCAGACAACCTCTCCAGGTCCCATCCAGCATCAATTATTTTAAGATGCTAAAAATCAACCCCCTCATGACTCATGGAAACTCTATCTTCAGTAGTGCTTGGGTTTAGGGGAGCTGTTTTGGTTTATAGAACTGACTAATGGATTCATTTTAAAGGTACCCAGGTGCTGAAGATGCAGTTTACAACCAGCTTGGGTTTATGATGCCTGGAAAACCAATTCCCTTAATGCAATTTTTCCCCAGTGCAATAACCATTAGAAACTCAGCCCTTACCCAGGGGAGACAGTAGAAATCCCCAAATTCTCACTTTTCTGCTGAAGCAATGCCTCAGCACCTACACTCCCTCAACTAAAACCCTGTGGATGCATTTTGGTGCTGAACTTGATAATTTATTCCTAAATCCTGATAATCTCATGATATTTATAATCCTCAGCTGAGTGGGAGTAAACCCTTCAATTTTATGGAAGATCTCCAGATGGAATCCCAGAATGGTTTGGGTTGGAAAGGACCTTAAAGCCCACCCAGTTCCACCCCCTGCCATGGGCAGGGACACCTTCCACCAGCCCAGGTTGCTCCAAGCCCCGTCCAACCTGGCCTTGGACACTTCCAGGGATCCAGGGGCAGCCACAGCTTCTCTGGGCAACCTGTGCCAGGGCCTGCCCACCCTCACAGGGAAGGATTCCTTCCTAAAATCCAATATAAACCTACTCCTTGTGAGTTTGAGGTCGTATAAATATATGTTAGAGGCCATACAAATTTTGGATCCTCCGTCAGCCCAAGATGTGCAGCCTCCAACACTGGATTGCCAGCTCAGATTTCCCTTCTAAGTGGTCAGGATTTACTAACTCTGATTACCTGAGGTGAAAACTAGAGATCACTTTGGTTCCCCCCTGGCTTGCAGCACCAAATGGCCCCACTCACTTCGTGTCTGTCCAGAAAACTTACTGTCAAAAATACAGAAATGTGGATTTAAGTGGATTTTGGAGTGTGGAAAAATCCCAAATCCATCAGTTAAGGGCATTAGCTCATGTGACACACCTCAGTGAAGTCAATTTTCAAGGATAAGCTTGTGACAAGCTGACTGGAGGAATTCTCCTTTAATGCATTATTAATTCATTTATTATTACAGTTATTATAATCTTTATGCAGGGCACTGAAGTTCAATTTGTTCTATATGAGCTAATGTTTTTAATGAGCCCTTTCTTCTCCTCAGGATGGGAGCTTCCTTAACCACTCATTTAGCTTTTAAGCACGTAGAAAATGACATGATGATGTACCCTCCTCATAAATACAGCCTCCCATATCATGCCCTGAATTTTAAATGAAAAGAAATGATTACTAACTTTCACGTTGCCAAATATCTTTTTGAAAGGTAATAAGGCTCATGAACTCTAAATATAGGAACCTCACCACACAATAGAAATCTTAATTACGATTCCTCTCTCTGACAAAGAGGAGAAATGCGTTCAAATAAAAAGACCCTGTGTAAGTAAATGCAGCTCTTTGTGGGGCAGACACTGGGACACAGATTAACTTGAGCCTGAAGCCCCATCTGAATGGCTTTGGGTTCATTCTCTGGTCACGCAGGGCAAGGAGGTCACGAGGCTGAAACTGGTGCCCCGAGAAACTGGTTCAGGCGGGGAGGAAACAGCACATTAAGCAGAAAATTGGGAGTGCTTAAAGTTGGGAAGCAACGGGAGGAAAACATTTCCAAACCCTCACACCGCTGTCAAGGCACCCAAGCACCCTGCTGGTTGGGAAGGCACAAGCACTTGGTGACCTCTCCTGCCAAGGGAGGAGGGTCAAGGTGTTTAAAAACCACGTGGATGTGGCACCTGGGGGACGTGGGTTAGTGGTGGCCTTGGCAGCGCTGGGGAGTGGTTGGATCTGATGACCTTAAAGGTCTCTTCCAACCCAAAAGATTCTGTGATTCCCTATAGGAAGCTGCTCGAGTCTGAACTTGGAATGTTATCCCTTCGTCTCCCCCTCGAACGCCTCCACCCATGGGATGCTCTTACAGAGAAGACAGAAGATTTGGGGGGATGAAAGGTAGGAGAAGGTTTTGGGGGGGATACATGAGAAGGTTTTGGGGGTGTGTAAGAAGAAGCAAGGCAGACTGTCCCCTTAAAAGAGTCGAGCAAGTCTTAATTCTCCTCTCATCCCGCATACCTAAAAAATAGCCATGGTGACCTTTCCAGATGGCTGGGCTTGAAAGAGGGAAAGTTTATAAACTGACTTCCAGACTGACAAGAAAGTGAGCTTTTCAGGGCAGAGCTGCCCCTACAAAGGGATAAATGAAAATATAATCAGCTTTTATGGCTATCTGGACTCCGGAATCATAGCAGCTGAATCCCTCTACCTGATTAGTTTATCAGAAATTAGTGAATTATTTCCTACTTGAAACAATCACTGGGTGTAAGGAAATAATCAATTTATCGGTGGGAATAAAAGAAGAATAAAAATAATTAAAAAGTTAGAGCACTACTCAGAGACTACATTTTATCAATGACTTTATCTTTCTGAATTTTTCAGAGCACAGAAGTTCACAAAATGAAATTCAGCAGCAGATACATAAGATGTTCTCAGCCCTGCTCTCTGCAGCAGTGAAAGCCATGAGCAGGATACAGAAAATCCTAATAAATGGTAGCTCAGAAGAAAGTTATGGTGTAAATAATTCCCATTATAGGCAGATCTTTGGCCTTAGAGCTCCCATTAATATAAGTTAATGGGAAATGCATATATTGGTAGCAGAGACTCCCTTTTCACCAGCCACAAACAGAAACAGAACACAGAATTATAGAAAGGGTTTTTTTCCTGAATAGGATTTAAAACATAAATAAATAAACAGACAGAAATCCCTTGCCAGTGTGATTATTTCCTCCAAGCACATCTCACTCCAGGAAGGATCCACAGGCTCTAAAATCCCCTGGTAACAAACTGTCCTAGGGAAGTCCAAGCCATAAATAACTCCAGGACTCCAAACCCTTTTTTTCCCTGCTGAACAGTGGTTGGCAAAGCCACCACTAAGGCCCTGCTCTTCTGCTATTTCTCTTCCACGTGCCCTATTTTAAAGAAATCCAAGTTCCATCTCCCACTGTGGATCCAACCCTCGGGTGTTTGGGGTAACTCACTGTCCCTGTAAACCACCTCCACCAGCTGCTGGGGAGCAGTATGGGAGACTGAGCTTGAAATAATCAGAATAAAATCATTACATAATCTTTTTATCTAGAATTGAGGGGGAGTTTAAATGTAAAATCACAATTTCCTCACCATCAGTTGCTACAACCGGATAAAGCCTGGCTTAGGGTTACACACACAATAACAAGTGACTGCTTGACTTGGAAAGAGAAGCCAAGCAATCTCCATCTGACCTCAGAGAGCTTTCAGGCTTTGAAATCATGTCTGCATTCTTCAGGGAATTAAAATCACGTGGCATTACTCCAGAACACACTCACATGCACAAACAGATGTACACAGACACACACACACACGTGTTTATGCTTTTATAGAAGGAATATTAAAGACAAAAATGGTAACAAAGGGGTTCCAAAATGGTTACAATGACTTCAACTGTTAAGATTCAGAGATGGAGGTAAATAAAATCTGCATCCAAACCACAAATATTTAATTTTAAAGAATAAAATATGCATTTCTAACCAGTACATGCAGCTGCTTCCTCATCAGTGCATGGTCAGTTTGTAGTTTTACATCTGAGTGCTTGTCCCCACTTTACTGCATCTGGAGAGAAAGACAAATTTGGGATTTGATAAATGGGATGTCACATGTTGAATTTATCTGAAACCAGCATCTTTATCAGCACAATTCCTTTGCTTTATTTTTTTTTCCCCTCTGTGTCACTGAGTTTATGACTGATCTCATTCTCCTTGCCCTTCATTTAACTGGAAAAGGACAGCTTTTTCCATATTTGAATAACAGAAGCAACAAACCCCGTGGAATAGGAAAAAAAAAAAATGGGCTGAAGTGAGAAAATCTGATTCTTATTCTAAATCTGGTTTGTGACCTTGGTAAAGGCGTCACTTCTCTGCACCTCCACTTCCCCTCTGTTTCTTTGCCTTTCTTGTCTACTCCCATTACAAGCCTGTTAAGTATTTATATAGCACCAAAAGATAAGATTCAGCCTTCTTTGGAATCAAGAGATAACACAAAACCAGAAACAATAAATCTTATCGACCACCACTTACATTATCACAATCCTAGTAGTCCACTATTGTGAAACACATTTCAAAATGATTTTTAATAGTTCCTCCCCTTTCAAATCACAGAAAAAAATAAAAAATGCTCATGAAAGGAAAGTGTGTTCAAAGGGAAATAGATCCCTTAATTTTTTTATTACAATGTATTCCACCTCTTTTAAACACATTAGCCAAGAGCTGACCACCCACAGGTGGGTCAGAGGATGTTCTCCTACATGCTGGAAGCAGGAAAGTTGAGGGCAAGTCTGGGAAGCTCCAAAATCACTTTTTCTGCTCTCCCCAAAGAGAGAACAAATTCCAGGCCAACTCCTACATCAACAAGGAGAAAGACGAGCACACAAAGCAAATTTTGGCTTCTTTTTACCTTTGTGGGTCACCTTTAAAAGTGATTTTCTTTCCAGCCCCTCTGTGTGAATGACAAGATATTCAGTGAGGCGTCTTAGGGGAAAAGAAGTGATAAAGAGGAATCCAGCTAACCTATTTTCTTTCTTGTCACTACTTGATAATCTCTTTATCTGGTCTCATCTCACCAGTTGCAGACAGACTTATTTCCCCACGGACAGACCCAATCCTTCCTCCAAAGTGCACAAGTGAACAGGCACCTCCTTTCCCACAGTGTTTGAGATTCATATTGTAACGTCCCCCTGATCTTTTGGGGTACCTATGGGCAGATTCAGCACACACAGATGCAAACATATAGGATGTACATGCTTTAGTCTTTCAAATAGTTCCTGTGGTCAGGGGCACACAGAGAACATTTACATGAACCTCCCCATCAATAGCAGTCTGCAATTCCACTGAAACACGATTCACTAGCACACATATTTTAAATTTCAGTCCCTTTCCCAATAAATTATGGTTTCTGATGTGAACAGCAACCATTTTTCTAAAGCTCTGCAGTGATTTAGGAACCTCAATTCTATTTTTCAGCTGCACCTTAATCCTTCTTGACTTGTATTGAGGCTTTAGCTTAGAGAAATGTTTGCTCTCCTGCTGGCAACACACTCAGCCTTTCAGAGGGGCCTTTACCTCCACAAAGTAATGTGACTGCAATTTGTAATGCCAAATGCAAATTTGCCTGATCAAACAGCCCGTGCCAGCTGGGCACAGCCCAACAAAGCTGTGGCAGCCTGGGCCAAGCTTTGCAAGACATGCCTGGGCTGGAGAACAGAGCAAACCCAACCCCAGTCCCACGCACAGACACCAGGGCTGCAAAGGGGAGTGGGAAAATCCTTATGCTGGGAATCAGCACAGAGCAGGCCATTTGCAGGATTTCAGTTTATCACAGCACAGGATTCAGGGAGTTCAAGGCAAGATGCTGTTATTACATCAGGTCTAGACTTCCTGCCTTTACATTTCCCCCAGTTATCTCTATATTAAGCCAATTCCCTTGTAATTGATTAAAAAGTCTCCTCCAAATAAAAAAAATCTCCTTTTTATTTAGACACATGGTGTGTGGAGGGAGGAGGAGAAAGAAGGAATTCAACATTATTTTACTCAGAGATTCTAAGGGAGGAGGGGATTTTTATTTGTATGTCCCCCTTCTTCTCGTATTTTTTAATCTATCTCCAAAATCACAGCAGAGAATAGTAACTCAGATGCTTTATAGCCTGAATTCATTTTAATTAGCTTTCTCCTATCTTTACCAGCTGTTTGTCTGCTTCTCCCATTTATGCTGTGCATCTTGGACTTATCGATCTAGTAAGCTTTAAATTACAGCTATCCATGAGAAAAAAAATAAGGCAGGAGGAGGCAAACTACAACAGGAAAGACCAGAGCTGATAAAGGATTTCTGAAGGGCTACTCACTTCTGCTAAAAGAAAATCTTAATGGCATTTCCCAGAGAGAAGGTCTGTGGGGCTGAAGTTATCAGTGGACTGCCCAGACAGAGGAAGGGCAAATAGAGCTCACATAGGTTGGAGGAAAGGATTTATACCAAAAACATTTCCAGTGGAAAGTGTAGGAAAACATGCTCCTGACAACGTGAATCACCTGCTGAAGGTGATCCAGCATTTCGCCCAAGTCTCTTCTATAACATGAAGACACGATAACAACTCAGGGGTCTCTGCCCCAGGTTGGAAGAAAAGCACCATCATTCCTCCTGTGCAACAAGCACAGCCAGCCCTTGCTTCCCTAGCTCAGGTAAATGGTTCTGGCTGCAGCAAGATATTTCAAGTTTTAAAATCAACTTATTTCACAAAGGGATTGCTGATACCGTGTAAGTCTTAATGAGAAAACCCGTCTCCCACTCTAGGCTTAAAACTCAACCTGTTGTTTAGGTTTTCAAGGGAAAAATCTTCAACCTTACTAACTGGGATTTATGATGACTGTCCTAGAAACCCTGTGGCCTGAATAGAAGGTAGGTGCCCTGGTCTTATAAATCTACTGGGAGGAGAAATTAAAACATGATCCTTTTCCTCTGTGGGTGTGTCTGGATACCCAGTGCAGCTTTCTGCTCTGCCAAGGCATTTCATTGCTATGATGTGCCACAAGTGCAGCCACTTCGCTCTTTCAATTTTCCAAAAGGTTAGAGGGAGCTGACAGATTTCTGAGAGAGGGAATGCAGTTCATGCTTTCGTTCACTGGCTGAATTTGACACCGTGTTGCAGCTCAGCTCCTGTGGTGCAGAGCAGGAGGGCACAAAGATGGCTTTAAGACATCTCAGCTCCCCGTGTTGAGCTGCCCAGGGGCTGCCTGCTCTCTGAGCAGAACCAGGAGCAAATGCTGAGCCAGGATTAGGTCTGGCATGACCTGCTGCCTCTGGCCATGCCACAGATGGCACAGGCAGCTTCCCAGGCTCCTCCAGCTCCTGATGGCAGGGGAAGAGCAAACAGGCAGGGATGAGTGGTCCCTGCTGCAATGTGACCTTCACATCTCATCCATCCCTTTCTCCCTAACAAATCCAGCTGATGAAGTAAAAAATTCTGAGTCGCTCTGAAAATGAGAAACTAAATATTGGAGTGTCACTTGGACTGTGCCTGTACAGATCCCCACAACACAGAGCAAGGTAAGTCATGGATTTGGCCCAGAGGACTTGACAAAGCAGAGTGGCATCAAAAGCAGGGAATGCTGCCCAGGATGGAGCTCTGGCAGTGCTTGGGATGCTCCTGAAGCCAATCCACTCCTGCAGGGCTGAGCTCTGCACATCAAACCTTCCGAGACCCAGCTCTGCCCTGCAGTGCAGACCGTGAAGGTTGATCCTATTTCGGTGACACGTGGGTGGCAAAGGGATGAAAGGGCCCCAAATCCCAGCACCCAGGCCTGGGCAGTGTTTCCATCAGCTCCAGCACCACTGCCAGTGAGGAATAAGCTCCACTTGTGCCTATTAACAGCAGGGTTTTTTGAACGGGAAGTTTTTTCAAGCAACAAAAATATGCATTAAAAAGCTCAGAAAACAGCACAGGATGAAATGGATAAAATGCCACAGCAAAAGGTCAATGTCCTTATGGCTTATGGATCCCACATAGGTGAAAAATGTGCTAAAGGGAGTATTTACAGTGATATCTTCAGATTAATATCAAATTAAGATGGGTTGAGGAAAAAAAAAGAGTAAGAGAGAAAAGAACCTCTTTAATAAAGAAACAAACATTTTAAGTGTAATTTTACCCATGTGCCTTATGAATACAAGCCAGTGTGCTGAGAAGAGTCAACACAACAGTTTTCCATTTCTTAAATGATATGATTATTTTCTTTTCAGCAACAGTAAAATCTAATAATTTTACAGGAATAACATTAAGAAGTCTTGTTTAGTAGACATCTTCTGCCAATATTTCAGTTTTCCCACCAGGAAATGTGTTTCTAGTCTGTCTCATATTTAGAATAAGGTGATTCCATTACACCAAGCACAGTGTTACAAGTTGCTCAAATATCTGTTTATTTATTACTAAAAGAACATCAGAACACGAAGAGAGCCTTGAAATACTAATCATAGCTGTCTAGGACCATCACATGATGTGAGCCAACAATTCCTGTGATTTACTGGGCCAATAAAAGAAGGCAGCCGTGAACATTTTTGTAAATCAAGTCTATTGGGCCAGATTTTGCTCCTTGATTACTCAGGCATAAGAAACGTTATAGCACTTTACCAGTACATAATTCAGGTGATGAATTTAATAATATGGATAGGCAGCATTAAAAGCTGTTATAATGTTTACCAGAGGGAAATCACCTTGGCTCCTACTAACACACAAAGGCTCATGCTCACACATGCACATACACTCTCTCTCTGAGGCTTGTCAGGCCAGCAGAGCCATTTTTCCCTTAAAAAAATTTGTCCAGGTCTGTGCAAAATCACCCAGGTCTCATGTACAGCTCTGTCATACCAAAAATCCCCCAGCTCTGCCAAACCCCCACAGGAGGTGAATGTTCAGCAGTCAAACCCCCTGCCATGACTTGCACGCTTGTGTGGAGTTTAAATTTGCAGTTTACACCAGGTGTTATGATCCCTTGAGGGAACCTGTGACTGGCAGAGAATCACCTCTGCCAATATTCCCCTCCTGGGTCAATAAATCCTGATAGTCAATA